TAGCCCAAATATTAAAAAAAAAAAAACTGGAGAGAAATAAGACTTGTGTTCACTGAGGAAAATATTTTCTCTGATTTTTGCTTGCTTTTCCATTTTACAATAGAGAAAAGTACCATAAAAATATAACAAAAAGTCATATATGAATTCTAAGAATAAGCCAATATTATTTTCTCATATTTGCTTCATATTCAAAATTAAAAATAATAATTTTGAAACTTCTTTAATGCTTTTCCCAAGTTCATTCTTTTTTCCTCTCGAGATGCAACCACTATGAATACTTTTGTGTGTATCCTTCCAATTCATGTCTTTATGCTCACATTTTTAGAATTATGTATTATATTGTATATAGAGCACCCTATAGTTAGTACCTATTATTCTGTGCCACATAAAATCTATAAAATACAATTGGAAAAATAAGTTAGGTAAACAACATGAGTAATTTTTTATAAGAATATAAATATCTCAAGATAGTTTCCAAAATGGCCCATTGTGATGAATCTGACATTGAAATTATAATTGAGTTAATACCTTATATTTACTTAGCATTATGGAAAAGGGGGGAGGGGAAGTCAGATTTGTTGAACTCTTACTAATGTGCAGGGTGCTGAGCTAACTACTTGATATGTTATTTTATTTCATTGCAAAAACAGCTTGATATTAGAGTGCCATATTATAGATGAAAAAACTGAGCCTCAGAGAAATTAACTTACCAAAGTCACACAGCTACTTAGCAACAGTGATGAAAAGTACAAGGTCTGGAGACAGAGGGCTTGTTTTCACATTCGAAATTTACTCCATTAGCTGTGTGACGTTGGATAGATACTTAACTTCCCAGTGCTTCAGTGCCTTCATTTATACAATGGAGTTAATAATAGTACCTAACACAAAGATTTGTTTTTTAAATATTTTAAAGATTAAATTATTATAAATATAAATATAAATATAAATATAAATATAAATATAAATAATCCTGAGATCAGCCCCTAGCTGTTCTGGCTCAATGAATAGAGCATCGACCTGTGGACTGAAGGGTCCCGGGTTTGGTTCCAGTAAGGGCACATGCTGGGGTTGCAGCTCAACCCCCAGTAGGGGGCATACAGGAGGCAGCCAATCCATGATTCTCTCTCATCATTGATGTTTCTATCTCCCTCTCCCTTTCCCTTCCTCTCTGAAATCAATAAAAATATATTTTAAAAAAGTAACCCTGAGAACAGTTTCTGGTGTTTCATATACCACATATGAATAATTACTATCATTATTATTATTGGATCCCTCATTCACTGCCTCTTTTAAAATAAAGTCAAGTAAATAACAACTAAACAAACAATGAAAAAACAGAAACTAAATAAAACTGAGGAAGGGAGAGAAAAACTGCAATTGAGCCAAAAAGTGCGTCTCTAAAGCTTCTTATGGAGACAAAGGAGATGCGGTGGCCGCGTGCCCTTTCATACCTAATTACTGACAGTGCTGTAATGCATCAGGACAGCATCCCTCCAGCTCCTAGAACTGCAAGCATCTTCATCTTCTGCATACTGAGCAGAGCAATAAAACAGGTCCTCAGACGTGATTTAACAAAAGTACAGAGGTCTCTTCCTTTTGCCTGTTCTTGGTGAAAGCCGAGGAGGTGTTCATTCAACAAGAGCTGCTGAATTTGGATGAGGGACAGGGTAATATATCCAGATTATGCAGCTTTTAGGTGCCTGGCTATAATGAGGGTGTATGAAGAGGGGAGAGCATAGAGAAGCTTGAGCATTTTAAGGAACTGAATAGTGTAGATCAACCTACATCATAGAGTATTTTTGATAGTAGCTGAATGACAATTCAATTTTGAGGTCTTGCATGAGAATAGAGAGAAAAATAATAATAAAAAACCCTCACCCTGATCATTGTATCACTATAATAGAATGAAATATCAACAACCACTATTTGTTATTAAAGCCGATGGAGGCAGCATGTGCATAAAGGGGGCGGGGGGGGGAGGAAAATGGATAGATTATTAGAAATCCAGGGGAGAAACAGAAACAAAAGCAATTTGAAGCACTGGATGGAAAATGTGCTTAATAAGTTCAGCCCATCCATCTCCCCTCCTGCAGATTCAGGCACTGGAGAAAGCTGATGCTGATCTCCCCTCAAGGCCTAGCTTCCCTGCAGCATGGGGATGTCTGAGGCTGAGAAAAGCATTGTCACCTAAAACTATTTTTAAAATGACAAGGGAGCACCTCGATAGCAGCCCCGCTTTGGGAGTTTAGGGGCTTCAGGAAAATCCTTCCTCAGGAAGGTTAGCAAGGGCTGCATGTCCAAGAAGAGTCTCTTGGTCACATCTCTGTGGCCTGACTGGGCAGCTGGACGTGCTGCAAACACCTCAGGGAGGAGACTGGCTTTAAGGTCCACGATGGTAGAGACTGGATCTGTTTTCTCACCACTATATGCCCAGGAACTTCTTTCACAGAATAAGTACTTAATAAACACCTGTACTATTGAGTGAAGAAGTGAATTAGTAAATGAATCCCAGGAAAGCCTATAACCGGTAGTACTCTCTATAGACAAACACAGGAATAGTAAACTATAGATAGTAACTTAAATATCCATCATGGTTATAAATGTTAAACGTACTTTGCATCCCCCCATGCAGAAAGAAAAGGAGAAAAGAAGAAATATTCATAAGTAAGGTATTGGATAAATAAATACCTTAAATATCGCTCATGGTATGTAATATTAGACTACAGAACTCTGTTACTCAAATAGAAATATTCACATGCTGAGATGTCAAATGGAAAAAGTAGATTGCAATAATAGAGCAAGTATGAGTTCAAATTTGCAGATTACAAAATATATGTGAGTTTTCTGTATATGTGATTTTTATAGAAAACATTCTGTATATATGGTTTTAACACTGATTATGTCCGGATAGCAAGATTATTGATTATCTTAAATTTTTTTTATTTTTAATACTCTACCTAACAAAGGTCCCCTCTTACCCCATACTACCTTTATAATCAGAAGATTAATAAAGTGATTAAAAAGTGAAAATACTGGTGCTGAAAGAAAACTCTTTATTGCATCCTTGTCCAGGGATTGTGCAAGTGGCAGCTGTCACTCAATAGCACAGTGGGGAAAAAAGTGAGCCCTAGCCTGTTTGGCTCAGTGGATAGAGCATTGGCCTGCGGACCGAAGGGTCCTGGGTTCAATTCTGGTCAAGGGCATGTACCTTGGTTGCAGGCTCCTCCCCGGGACAGGTTCTGGTCGGGGCATGTGCAGGAAGCAACCAGTTGATATGTTTCTCTCACATAGATGGTTCTCTCTGTCTTTCCCTCTCTCTTCCACTCTCCCTAAAAATCAATGGAAAAATATCCTCGGGCAAGGATTAACAACAACAAAACAACAACAACAAAAATTCTCTCTACAGAACCATATCCCACACAATTTAAAGAATGCCATGTTTCTCCATTAAATCTCGAGTGGCTAAAATGATGTTCTTCTTGAGCCTGGATTTGGCTTCATTGGATCATACACAAGCTAAATTCACATTAAAGCTACAATCTAAATAAAATCAACCCAAATTAAAGTATTGCTTTTTTATAAAAGGATAAATAGAGCATTTTATTAACACTTTTTTTGCAGCAACAAAATGATAGCCCATATCTTTTCATTCAATACAACAAAAGCTGTGACCACATTATACCACTTTGAGACACAAAGCAAAAGATATGGTTTGCATTTTTAAAACAGACTTTATGTTTTATATTTGCAGTAGCAGAGCCTCCAGTCACTAGCACAATACAATGAACAGATCAAATATCCAGAATAGACAGTTAAATACACCAATAATATTTGGAGTTGAATTTGGAAATGCATAATTATCACTTCAGAACATGAAAAAGAGGTCTGATGTTATTTTTTTTTAAAGAAAAAAGAATCATTCCAACCACCCAAAAAGCTACCACAAGCAAAATAAAGATAATATACAGACAGGAAATTTTATGCATTGCACTTATTGCTTGGTACACAAATGTTGCAATTACTGTTGAGTTATATTAAGAAGTGACAAGCAAAATGCCTCTGCCCCCATCTAAAATTCTATGACTCTATGAAAGTAGAAATTGCAATCCCCTAACCCAACATTAGGTGTATGCTATTTTTTGTATGAAGATTGTTTATTATGTTTCTGTGTATGGATATGTATAAGATATACAGATATATATAGATATAATTTTAATATAATTTGTTGTCCTATGTAAGACAAATATATTTTAAATGGGACTTTAAATAATAAAATTATCTACTTACAATCTCTCTATTAAATTTATCTTTTTATATTATATATAGCTCTGTGGCACAAGTTTTATATAGCATTTAATTATTAAGGAAGAAGAATATCTAAACCATTTTCTATTTCTTTTGTTGTTAATATTGCATTTTCAGGGCTCTATTTCCATAGTAAATTTCTCATTAGATTCTTTATGGTGTGTGCATCTTTTTTTTCCTAATTCAAGTTACAACCTGTACAAAGTTGTAATAAAAATACATTGAAGTCTTTTTCTAATTTTTTTTGCAAAAAAGTTATGTGATATGCTACATGGAAAGTCTGATTTATTAAAACGTGAAGTGTTTTATACTGTCAGGTAAAGAAATGGAAGAACATGAAGCATACCCCACACTTTACAAGTTCTCTTTCACAGGTATGTGTTTGTGCCCAGCATTTCATATAAACCACTGCAAGACATTCCTTTTGATAACCAACAAAATAGCCCACATTACGTAATAACTACAATTATTTAGTATGCCTTGCTCATTGCTAGCCCACAATGCTCTTCTCTAATTGAGAGATATTCCAAGTTCATGATTTACACCCAATAAACGTTGTCAACATCTGCTGCAGCCAATATGACAGCATTATATTTTTGTGTTTTATTTTGTTTTAACACGACTTCTGCATGAGATCTTGCAATACAGTGTAACAAATATATAAGTGCATTTGACATGATCAAGTAGCTTTGGCTTCCTAACTTTTGTAGGATGACATGTGCCAACTGTTTTAGCTGTGCTTTATTAAATGGCGATAAGTTTTAGCTCATATAAATCCAATGAGTAACTACTTGTTTCTACAGTTTTTGATCAGTCAACCTTGAAAGCACAAATGCAAGAATAGATGACCTGAATGGAAAAGATGGAATTTCACAACTTCTACAGATTGCACTTGATGGTAACTTCATGAGTTTGTTTTCATTTCATTTTTACAGCAAGACTTGCTTGGTTGATATGTTTACATGTTCACACCACATATTTTAAAAATTTTTGTGCAATCACAATTAAGTTAATCACAGACACTAAAAATAAAACCAGCGATTAGTTTTGTTATGAATACTCATCTCGGTCCTTATAGGTGTATGTGTCTTGTCCTTCTTCTTGTACAAATTCCTCTTTCTTTTCCCAGCCATTGGGCCAACCTCCATTGGCCTGTGTTGTGGCACCATAAGACTTGGTGGTACCATAATTGATATAATTTTGAGTAATGTCCCCTGTTTCTTCATCGAGTTCATCTTCATGGATAAACCCACATTTTTCTTCACTGGTTTCCTCAGGGTCTGCCCACGGTTGCTTCTCTCCTGAGGCAAATATTCCATAAAATATAACTCCACCGTAGTGGACGAGGGCAGCAATCAGGAAGACATATTGCCACTCCTCGCGTGACTGCAGGGACAAAAGTGGCCGTGTGAGAACAAACTCCCCATGGGTGAGACATCTTCTCTAAATGTCCCACCAGCGAGCTTTTCATAAAATGCTAGCTGTAGGGGAAACCCCTCTTCTTGATCATATGAAGCAAATCCTGTGACAGAAACTTCCTATAACACTGTAACTTTCATTATTTTAAAAGTAATTTAAATCTCATGTTTTGAAATAATTCCAAATATATCTGTGGTCGGCTAATTTTAAAAATATTTATCATTGATTTACTTAATATCCTTTTCTCACTCCTTTTATTTATTTTCCTCTAGTAAACCACAATTTTGAAGCTCTACACATAAGGACAACTAGCTGATAATATATTCTTCCCCTGATAACTACAGAAGGGTCCGAATTGAGTCTTGTAAATAAAGCTCAGAAGATTTCTCTTGCCTATTTTAATAAGCTGGGAGCAGAAGGTTTGATTTGTTAACTACATCAGAAGTATCAGAAATATGACAAGGTGTTAAGGAGCATGTTGCTTATTGGTTGGGAAAGAGGGCTCACTCAGAGTTCTTGGATATTTTCTTCTGAGCCTCAATCCTCTCCCCTACTCAGAAGTGTGGGGAGTAGACCAGAAAAGAAATGCCAAAGAGAATGTATTAACCCTTTCCCCAACCATGCGAGAGAATCTTCTACAACTAATCATCTCTTTTGTTCCATCTTACCTTATTCTTTGTCATTGCACCCACAATGATAGGGCAAACCATTCCTGACAATGTGCCAACACCATTCGAAATGCCCATTAAGATGCTGGCATATCTTGGAGCAATATCCAGGTGGTTAACATTGAAACCTGAAATACATGTAGAATCTTTAATTCAGAGAGTCCCAAGCCTCTTAGAAGTGCCTACAAAAATATTCTCTTTCATACTCACCACCCTTCTTAAAAGATACTAGGTACACAGCAGGTGCTAAATAACTACTTTTTGCTAATTTAGCTCAGGGATATAATGAGAATAAAATGAGGTGTACTTTCTTATATTATGCTTAATATATGATGCTCACTCCACAGAAGGAAGGAGATATGTTCTCATAACCAAAAAATAAATGAATTAAATAAAAGAGTAAGAAGGGAGAAAGTGAGTAGTAACAAGTCTAAGTAATGATTTCTAAATGTTTTATTATTTTTAATATAAATTTTAGTGGAAATATGCTGAGTAAATGTTCTTAACTCAAAATATTTAAATAGGAAAGTATAATATATGGAGATAGATGGATAGATCAGCCAAAATGAGATGTCACAAGTACAAATTTTAAAAATGTATGTTACCAGATATGGCAAATCCGCTGAATCCCACTGCAAGTACCAGGAATGAGATGGCTACCCCTCTAGTGTGAGAATAGCCAACGACCAGGAGCAGGGTTGCTTCCATGCCAAAACCTTCAGAAACAAATACGTGAAAACACTTCAGAAATTTGTGTAAATTTTTCCAATGAGCTAAAAATGCTCTAGCAAACCACTTCTGGCAGTCTATCTTAAAAATAATAATAACACTAATAATTTATATGCAAAGATTCCTGAAACTTTCCATGTGCTGAATAAAAACATCAAAAGCAACCTTAAGTTTCAGTGGTGGCAAGGTCAAGTTAGTTATGCAGTTATTTAAAAGTAGGAGTTATGAAAATCTAAAATAAGATAGAAAAATGTTTATAAATGAACAATGACACAAATGTAACGGCATATGTGATATGTATAGAAAAAGTTTCTTATGCAGATTAGAACTTCATGAACTAAAAGTATGTTTTTAACATCATGGATGTAGGTACTTACCACCACAATTCATGATCTTTCTTACTGTAGTAGTTGAAAGAATTTGCCTGCTTCTTAGAAAGTCTGCAATCTGCCCTCCAATAGGTACAATAATTGTCATTACTAAGTGTGGCACAGCAGACAGCATGCCAACCTGTAAGAGGGGAGAAATATACGTGATCATAAGTAATGTGGGCAATGTAATGGTCTTGATTTTCTTGAACATCATCATAAAACTCTTCATGGGCAAAGGCAGGAAGAATTCTGTCTCCAAATGACCACTTACTCATTCCTAGAATAAGTAGTAACTTTCACAGAATAAATGAGAAAAGCCAAGTGATTTTATTTGGATCCCTTTTTGTGTTCCAGAGAAAACTTTTCTTCTGTGCTATGAGTCAGTAAATTTTGAGTTTATGAATAAGCTACCTTGAATCATATTACAGAGTGGTTCACATTTATGTGCCCATTTTATATTCTTAAATATATTTGTAAAAATGTATCATTAGCAAAAAGTGGGGAGTAGAAGAGAGACAAGGATATAGAGTCAGAAGGAAAAATATAGTACATCCGACAAAACCTTGAAGAGGCTGTAGTTTAAATTCATTTTTAATTAATAATAAGTCTAACAATGTTTATAGTATTAAAAAATATATGTATTATGAGTTTTATATTTATGTTCTATAAATTAAGAGCCCAGAAAATATAGATCAATTATTAAATTTTAGGCATTTTTTATGTCAAATATCAATATTTGGTCACATTGTCATACAATAAATTATATAGGGTGTGCCAAAAATATATACACACACTTTGAATAATTACAAAGGCAGTGTTTTTTAAAATACATTTCATTTTCAAAATTGAGCTATCAGCTATTAAAGTGTGTATGCATTTTTTGGGACATCCTGTAGTTTCTATGCAATCTAAAAATCTAACTCGCCTGCATCAATTCAACACAGAGTTTCTTACCAATAATTATGTGCAAGGCACTATTCTCTAGAAATTATGGAGGCAGGAAGTATAAGTAAAGTGCATTTTAATTATGTACTGTATTACCACATATGTGGACTTAGTAAATTTTAAATATAAACATATAAGGAGGTTTTTTACTATGCATACTAGTACTTTGAAGCACAGTTCCTGACAAGTGCTGGATAAGTTTATTATTTGATGTAACTATGTCTTTCAAATTAGACTACTGAAAGTTTGAGACAAAGATTGTTTGTTATTTTCCAAGGTGTATAATGTGGCGCCATGACCAAAGACTTGGGTTGTTTGGACAATTAATTAAGATGGTGAATAACAATAAAATAGGTTAAATGTCCAAGCTACTTAATTCTCTCTTTCACTTTGGATAGAAGTGTTTTATATTATCATTATTATAGTTTATCGTAGAGTTTAGTTCCTGAACCATGTCAGCCTAGATCCAAAGCCCATGATCTATTTCCTCCATTACCTCCTTTACATGTTTTTTAGGGAAGTCAAGAGCCTTTTTTTGTTGTTGTTACCGGTATAATCAAAATCATCAAGTCAATCTGTTTGTGTAGAAGTTATCCATAATTTTAAAATATAATAAGTGAATCAATCAACCCATCTGGTTATTATATTTAGTTGTTGTAAAATACCATTGCTTTCACTCACGCATTTTCAATTAATTGGAGCTCCAGGGCCAGAATGACCATGCAGTTTCATTAACATCAGTTGGTTCCTTCACTCTCCCCCAGGAGACCTGACTTTATTAATAGCCTCTCAGTGTCATAGTTGGCCTAGATTATGAAAATGGACTCACACCTCCAGCAGCCTTTGTTGAGAAGTGTAACACCTCTCAGAGCTCCCAAAGGCTACTCTGCTGCGTTTGATCAGCTACAGGGAGAAGAGCCTTGTCTAAAGCAGCATTATTCTTCTCAATAATGGAGGAAACAGTTTCCTTAGAAACAGGGATGACAAAAGGGCTCTTAGAATAGCTACTCCTAACTCAGGCTGCCTTCAGTTCCAGGCCTCAGATAATCTTTCAAGTAGAGGCATCATATGAATAGTGAGCCCAGCTGGACTGAGGTAATGACATGAAGAGAAATGGCAAGTCCATTGCCAGCACAGACAAGTGTATTCAGGACTCAGCAAAGGGCTTGGCGCAGAGATGGCATTCAACGAACACTTGCTAAATGCTTAAGTTAATATGTGGTTTACCTGAATTTGACTTTTTGGCATTCAACGAATACTTGCTAAATGCTTAAGTTAATATGTGGTTTACCTGAATTTGAATGGCACAGTAGAGGGAATTGAAACAAGTCAAAGGATCTGGGCTTAAAGTTGATTCTGTCATTTATCACCAGCTTGGCTTCAGGCAATTTAAATGCCAGCCCTAGCTTCTGGTTCTACATCAGTTCAAGAGAAATGGTGATAGTTACACTCTTTTCAATCACACAAGGTTGTTCATGAATATGAAAGGACCTTGGAGATTTCAAACCCTTATATAAAGTAGTAGTATTATCTTCATTTCATCCTTATAGAAAACCTCAAAATGATTATATTATCATAGCTATGAATATATGCCTAAATACAATAGCATTTAGCATACTGTGCTGTAATTGGTAGCTTCCTCTTTTTTTTTTTTGGTCTACACCACCAATCTATAAATTCTTGAGGACAGAAAACATATTTTTATTTCTGAATCTAACACAAAATTTCACATATCATGTTCAACAAATGAATAAATTGGAGAAGCACCATGTAAGCATGTTTTCAAATATTTTTTGTTATCCTCAAATCTTTTAGCCAGACAAATTTCTGAGAGCATTGAAGAAGAGTTAGATTGGTAATAGCAATTCCACCTTAATGAAGTACTTTTACATTCACTGTTACATAGTCTCTGATATGATATTTAAAAGAAGTTATGTTTGCCCTGGCTGGCCAGTGTGGCTCAGTTGGTAGGGAGCCATCCTGTGCACTTTAAAGTTGTGGTTCAATTCCCAGTCAGGGCAAGTGCCTGGGTTTCAGGCTCAACCCCGCGCAACCCCCCCACCCCCAGCCCACCGTGGGCTCTGTGCAGGAGGCAGCAGATGGATGTTTTGCTCTCATGTTTCTCTCTCTCTCTCTCTCTCTCTCTCTCTCTCTCTCTCTCTCTCTCCCTCCCTCCCTCCCCATTCTCTCCCTCCACACCTCTCTCTAAGCTTGTCCTCTGGTGAGAATTAAAAAGTTATGTTTAATTGCAGAGAGATGGCAACACCGCTGCCCACCCCAACTGAGATGTAAGCTCCACGTGGGCAGAGAGTAGGTCTCTTTTGTCTGTGTTCCCTGCAAAAAAAGAGCAGATTCTAGCAGATATTTGAAGGCAGTAGATAAACATCTTGCTTAGTCTTTGTTTTCCAGAAGTTACTTATTGACCGAATATACAAATAACTCATGAAATTTAGAAGATAAAATCTTGGTAAAGAAACTTAATATTCACATAAGTACAAAAAGTATGCACTAGTTACATAGAGATAATTTTCACATACCTTGCTGATTTCAAATCCAAAGACTTCCTCAAAATATGCTGGCTGACTAATAAGCAATAAATAGAAAGTCCAGCTTCTACAGAAATTTGCGACAATTATTGCATAGACTGGCATAGATGTAAAAAATTTCCTCCATGGAGTCTTGAATTTCTGAAATCCCAAAAAGAGAGCCATTCTGACCATTTAAAATATATTCGAATGGGCTTTGCATTTTTATGATATGTATGTTGGGGCATGAGTAGGATGGTAGACAAGAAGTAGTGAGTCATTAATTGCAACAGTCCAGTTAACCTTAGTTATATGAATAATCATTAGAAGAGAAAAAATGTATTAGCCTCTTATTTTGATTAAATTGTTTCAGTGTTGGGGATACACAAGATTCCATATTTATATAAAACTAATTCCAGAAGCACAGATCTCAGTTTTTAAGATTTCTTTCTTTTTTGTAGTGATAAGATCGTGCCTCAGCTAAAACTCACTGTAACCTTGTTGGTATCCAAACCAGTGACCTTGTTGGTATCCAAAATATTTTGTCTAGAATATTGAAAATTCAGTGTACTTATAAAAATAAGAAAAATTGAGTGCAATAATCTAGACCCTATCTAAAGACAATGATACCACTACTTATCTATAAACACTCTTGCTAGTCAATGGATATCAGTATAAATTCTGTGACACTGGAGTGCAAGGCTCTATAAAAGTTACATGATGTACATTTGGTTAAAATATTTGGCTTTAACCCAGCATACCATGCGCACATCATAACTACAGTCATGCATTGTTTAACATTTTGGCAATGGTTTACCACATATACTATGTGGTCTTATAAGATTATAATAGAGCTAAAAAAATTCCTATCGCCTAATGACACCGTAGCCCAACACATTACTCTCATGTTTACAGAGATGCTGGTATAAACAAGCCTACTGCACTGATAGTCATATAGAAGTATAGCACATCCCTGGCTGTGTGGCTCAGTTGGTTGGAGCATCATCCTGTACACCAAAAGGTTACAGGTTCAATTCCCAGTCAGCACACATACCCAGATTGCATGTTTGATCTGTCAGGGCACATGTGATTTTTCTCTTTCACATTCTCTCTCTCTCTCTCTCTCTCTCTCTCTCTCTCTCTCTCTCAAAAGTCAATAAAAATCTCTTTGGGTAAGGATTAAAAAGAAAAATACAGCACATACAATTACAGTAGTAGGCTATGCCATCTAGGTTTGTATAAGTGCACTCTATGATGTTCGCACAACAACTAAATCACCTAATACCACTTTTCTCAAAATGTATTCAGTCATTAACTGCACATGACTGTAGTTATTTATGACATACAAGACATTCAAAATTAACAACCTAAATATGATTGGCTTTGCTTATAATACCCATTAAAAATTGCATCCAATATACTTAAAGATTCTGTGTTTGCCCAAATGTACAAGTATCCTTCCCAAGACTAATTTTTACACCTTAAAATGTCTCTCATATTTCCAAACACTTTTCAATTACTTTACTTTGAACACCAAAATACTGTTTGGTGAAGAATCAATAGACTAAAATAATTTTGTTTATTTCTAGCTTGGGATCCTTGACCTGACCAAAAGAGGAAAAGAGGAGGCACTCATCAGTGGAATATAAAACTGAAAGCACCAAACAAGACAAACAAAAACTCTTGGACACAGACAATAGGATGGTGGTTACTATTGTCTGTGTCTATGAGGAAAGGAGGGTGAGGAGGGGGAGAGGGAGTGGAGTGTATGATGACAAAAGGAGATTTGACTTTGGGTGGTAAGCAATGCAATATAGAATTGTACACTTGAAACCTCTATAATTTTACATCACCCCAATACATTTAATAAACATTTAAAATTAAAAAAGAGGAGGCAAACATGCTTTTTACACAGATTTAGTAATTATTTCTGGATGTAGAATCCCATCATTGCTATTATTGATTGTGATTCTAATGAATCCTTTTAAAGGTCACTTTAAAAGTAATATAGTAGAATGCTATACTGTGGTGATTACAAATATAATATATAATATAAAAAAGAATCAAAACAACACAAAAGCCCATCCTAATAATATATAATGAGTTCTATGGCTTTGGATAAAAATGTTAAGTGTCAGTATTATAGATGGTTTCAAAAAGTGCAGGGTTGTTGTTGTTTTTTCTCCTTCAATTCAATATGTTCTGGAAAAATGGTGCCAGATGAATATACTTATTCACTGATAATGAATGTTAGCATTATAGATATTTGTATAAGAAATAAGTTTAGAATATTATTAGAAGTAAATAACTTTTTCTTGCTCGACTGTTATTTCTTTTATTTACATCAGGACCCTGAAGGACTTTATTTTTCAGGTTGCAAAACACTTCATCAAACATAAGAGAAAAGTATCTAATTTCATACCTTAAAAAGTGTTTGGGGGCTGTTGGAGGGTTTATGGTATTCTGATAACATTCTACTGCAACACAGGTGTATTTAGTTTATTAAAATTTAGCAAGCTATTTGCTTATGCTTTTGTGCATTTTTTTCTGTATGTATGTTGTATTTAATTATTTTTAAGAGAGATTTAAGAAACATTATAGTCCGCTGCAATGTGTGTGATCTTTAATTGGAGCCATACTCAAAACAAATAGCTATAAAAGACATATGAATATAGACTATGTATTCGAATTTGCACCGGATATTAGAAATTTAAATATCTAGGTATTAAATAATGTTAGGAAATTATTTCTAATTGTGTTAGATATGATACTAGTACTTAGATTCTGAAGGAGAATATTCTTATTTTCTAGAGATACATGTGAGATATTCACGAATAAAGGTTTATGATATCTCATTTACTTTGAAATTATTCAGCAAAAAAAGTGAAATAAGTAAAACAAGATGTTAACAACTTGCATCTATGCAGTGGGTATATGACTGTTCTTGCATATTAAATTTGTTCACAATAAAAAAGTTCAAAATAAAATGTAAGTTCTATCACCACTGATATATTTTGAATAATTTACCTTGAAGCTAAAGTATAAAATATCAATAAGTCATAAAATATTATGTTTAGAAAAGCAGTAAGATATAGAAAATGGGAATTTTGAGATTATGTTCTTTTATCCATCTGGCTGTTCTTTTGGGGGTTATTTCAGAAAATTTATGCCTGATCTAGACACACAGTATTTCAAGAACTGGTAAATAAAAGAAGCACATTTAACTAAGGAAGATACAGGCTGATCAGGTTGTTTTGGGCAGAAATTGAAGCTAAATTCTGAACTCACCTTGAACCAACCTACTTTTAGCTTCTGCTCACAGCAACTGTGGCTGGTGGGCACCAGAGCACACTGCCAACACCCACCTCACCCCCACATTTCCTCCTATCTTTTGAGTAGCCACCTCTAGAAAGAAATTATCAACCCATTTACAGAAGGAAACAGGAAGGGGAAAGTTTTAAATATCAGTCTACTCAGCTCATGGAACAACTATAATGTAAGGATTATTTTTAAGTACTGAAGTTTAACTTCTGAATAATATCCAACATGGAATTTTTCTTATTCATTAAAAGTCAAGATACATGTCCTTAGTAACAATGGGCAACTGACCTTTTACTAGAATGATATGTCAAAGACAGGCCTTCTCTAACAAATGAAGTAGCGAAGCAGAGCTGGAATAATATACAATTCAAATGTGGGGAGGAGAAACATAATGTATAAAGGGCATTGGTTCCTCAGCCAGTGAATGTTACCTTCCCACTCAGCATAAGGAAGTTAGGTTACTGATTAAATGCTGAATTACTAAACCTGTCTAAATACATGACTTTTCGTTTACTAGATTCATCGTAGTATCATATGGCTATCTGCTACTTACTATTTATGATTTGTTAATGTGACATGTACTAAAATAGTTGCATTATTGACATATAACTTCATTTCACTCTCTATAGGCAGATCCTGTCCAAGAAGCCAAATCATAATCAGGAAAAGGGCTTTAAAACATTATCTATATAATGATCTCCATAACAATGATTCTGAAAATGGATTATATCAATAAAAACATTATGTTAATAATATTTTCACATCAGCTCTCTGTTATCAGCATTCTAATGCTTTATTTACTAAACCACATGTAATATAAATACATATGTATGAAACCAACATTCAGACTATTTGACAAACAAAAAAATCGCCTTTTCCATGACTGTATTAGGTGGTTTGGCATTTCCTACAATCTAAAATTAACTATTGGTTGAATTTGTTTAAATTATGGACCATATTGAACTGTTTTTAAAAACTCACTTAGGTTTATAATCATAGCTATAACACAGGGCAAATTTGAAAATACTTAACAAAGATAAAGAAAAAAAATATAGCAATAATTCCCAAGTATATCAGGGAATATGAATGAAGTAAAGAAAACACTCATGATTGATATTATATTAGTCTTGTTGAATTGGTTGGTTGAAGGGAGATGAGATGGAGAATAGGAATAGAAATATACACCATAATAAAATTCTTACTTCCATTGCACCTAAAAGATTTGCACTCTCTCCAATGCTTTCTTCTATGTACCTACGTTCTTCATCTGTAATAGTAGGATGCTTTGCAGGACTCTCATAAGACACCAAAAGCCAAAACATGTACCAGACCATCCCAAAACTTCCTGCAAGCAAGAGTTCAAAAGGAGCAAGTCAAAGAAAACCACTATAAATACTTCCATTTAAAAGTCATTTGCTGAAATAACACTACAAAAAAATCTCATGACAATCATATTCTATAGAACGTGAATTCAAGTTTCTGTTTCTACAACTGACTTTAGTCATCTCTTCTTATCGTTTGCCACCAGATTTCAATCTTCCTGAAGGGTGGTCCTGGATTTACCTCTGTCTCTTTAAATAATGCTGATATGCAAGAAACTCACAACAAATAATTATAGAATGGTGTGGTCTGGAACACATTCACCCATCCAACAAATATTTATTGAGAAGTTACTTTTCCAGGCACTCTTTTAAGGGAGAGAAATATGAGGAACAAGACAAAATCCCTGTCCTCAAAGAATTCTATGAGGTTAATCCTTTTGTTATCGGCCTGTCTTGAATATAGAAGAGTGGTCTGCATTTGCAGAGAAAAGAAATGCTCCTTTACCTCTTCTGATAGCATTTCCAGATTTAGTAAACAGACTATTAAGTAAAATATAGAAAATTATTTCAGTCTTGAGTGGCTATTGTACATTTAAAAATGGGCTTCTGTAATTAATATAGGAACATTTCCCACTTTATGTGGGAAATGTGTATTCATACCATATTATTTTCGGAACATGCTATTGCCTATTGATCATTTTTGGGGGGCAGATGAAAGTTATAAATTTCAGTACAATAAACTGTTTGCAAGTTCTCTTCATCCCCTTCTTTATTTACCTCTCTCACCATTAAACATGCCCTTATTTTGTGATATAAATCTGGACACATTAATAATACAAAGAATTTCAAGTGATTTATTCTTGCTTCCCAGCAGCTGGCCATTTCATTCTTGCCTCAGACTGTTCTTTCTCCCTTGGGCAACAATCCCTGATCCCCATATACCTTTTTTTTTTTTTTGCTTGCTCAGTCTCTCAGTGTCCCTTAATAATACCATAGTTTCTGATGTGGCAAGCTTCTTTCAATTACTAAACATGACAGTGAAAATCCGATATAGTGTACTGGTTATGGAATATGGCCCTCCCAGATTCAAATCCTGGCTGTGTCATTCATTAGCTACATAATCTGATCAGGAACTGAATCTCTCTAAACCACCACTGTAAAATGAGATAATAATTCATTTTTTATGAGATTGTGGCAAAGTAAAGTTAAGGCAGATAATGCATAAAGCAACTAGCACAGTGGAGGGCTGAAAATAAGAATTCAATAAATGGGAGCTCTTGTGATTTAGAAATAATTATCATTACTCATCTCTGAATGCATCTGAAGTGCCTGATATGCAGCTAATTGCTTTTTACAGGATGGAGCAAAAGAAGGTTTACAGTTGTAAGTACCTGAAACATAGTTTATCCTGGTATTATTATTTATTAATGAGTGTATTATTTTCCATAAGAACAACTGTAAATCTACTTTTGCCCCCACCCTGTATGCATTATCTTTTTAAACCTTAGTCACTACACAAGTCTTATCTTACTGAGTTTTAAAATATCAATATTAAATGTATGACTCAAAGACCCAAATTTTGTTACACACAGCAACTGAGCAGGTACCATGGTAGGATATTTTCAGATTACCTAATATTTAAACTTTGAACCATTCAAGGATAAACATAAAATAAGTTATAACTTGAAATAATGTGGCTGATTTTCATACATGCTTTGTGGAAATTAGTCTCCTTACTTTAAAGCCACACCATGTTTTCAATCAAACACATCAGAGGATTTAATGGATGGCCTTCCCAACTTGTACTCTATACCCTCGAAATAAATGCTTGAAACTTCTTTGAATTATGAACTCTTAAAAATCGAATGAAAGATATAGATTAAAATCTGATAAAGTGACCTCTCCAGGAAAAACAATGTACAAATGCAGGCATGGCTTATAATTTAGAGCATTCGTAAATGCAAAAGCCATCCAGGGCTTTTGAGCCAGACGAAGAGCCCCTCCTATAAAGTATATTTAATAACACTCTACAAACATAAGCGTTTGCTCTGATGAGAACATTTCAAAATGGAAATGGATCTCAACAAATTTGGAAACAGCCAGATAACTATTCTGCTCAACCACATGGCTTCATCAATCTTTCAGGTTCTCATGCTCATGCTCAGAGGTGGTATTAATCAGTGACAATATCAGTTGGAATCCAGCTCTCTTATGTTTTTCCTGTCCTCATTATTATAAAAGTGTCTCTCAGAGACCTTGGGGCAGCGGTTCTCAACCTGTGGGTCGCGACCCCTTTGGGGGTCGAACGACCCTTTCACAGGGGTCGCCTAAGACCATTGGAAAACACATATATAATTACATATTGTTTTGTGGTTAATCACTATGCTTTAATTATGTTCAATTTGTAACAATGAAATTGGGGGTCACCACAACATGAGGAACTGTATTAAAGGGTCGCGGCATTGGGAAGGTTGAGAACCACTGCCTTTGGGGGACTTTCATTGGTAAGTTTTCAGCTTCTAGTTAGAAAGTAAACAGAAAGGGAGTTTGAATTTAGGGTTTCTTGTATTTTTTATTTCCATGTGGGGGCTTAATCTCCTTTAATTCAAAAGAAATGAGGACTCAAATGTGCTACTGCCGCAAGGGACTGCTAATATTTCTTCACAAAATTGAATAGTTACGTTAGCATTACTATAGCCATCCAGCTCTCTAACCCTATTCAGTCTTGAGGAGGCAAGATCAGGGAAATGACCAAGGAAATAGTAGTAAGAAAGAGAAGTGGGGGCTTCCTAGCTCTTTCCTCTTATTCAGCTTTGACTCAAGAGCTAACTTAATTTTATTATTCATAATCAAGAGCAATATACATCATACATCACAAAGTTTCCATCAGCAATGGGGTTGCTTTTTTTAAAACAATGAATAACAATGTAGAAAAAATCATAGAGGTAGAACATTTTCCTTGATCTTCCCAGAATATAAGGAAAAAACTCTTAATGGGGAAAAAAATAAGTAAGTAAACACAGAAGTTACATTTAGTGACCTATCTCATTGTTCTAGCTTATTCAGAGTTCTTTGAACTCTAGTGTATAGAAATGTAACATACCATAGACATAGAATACTGAAGACCAGCCAGTATACTGTACAAGAATGCCAGCTAAAGGCATTGCAATCACAGCTCCAGCATAGGAACCTAAAGGAGGAGGGAGAATGGGAAAAAATAAATAAATTAAATCAATAAAAGTTCTTAACTTTATTTCATGTTCCTTGATTCACTCACACAAATTCCCACTTATACACTTCAGTACGTGCACACTCACACTCATATATGCCTACATATTTAGCCATGAATACAAGACTACACAAGCAGATATAACTTGCCCAAGACACAGCAAATATTTAAAAATAATAAGACTACAATAAAAATTAAATTTAAAAGACTATAATAAAAATAATTCATAAACAAATTTGAAAACCTAGATGATATGAATGAACTAAAAAAACAACAACAACAAAGCACAAGAAGAAGTACAGATGTAAGGAGACCAATAAGAATTAAGGAAATTGAAATGGTGGCCCCAAACCTTTCCTCATGTACACACACATGCACTCCCCAATTGGTTTTTCAGGTGACCTTTACTAATTTAAAAATCTTATTCAAGTCGTTCCTAAACTTTCACCCACCATAACTACATTGGCGCATAGTATTTACCACAAAAGGAGGTGGTTGCCAATCTACTTCTCTCTAGAGGAGGGGCCCATTTGCTCCATATTCCATGACATGCTGGGTAGGTGACACCCTGTGATGGAGGAAGATATATATCACCATTTAGGATCCAGGGTCATTGGAAAATAGGCACATTTCCTTCTCTGATGCAGTTTTCTTAGAATGGACACAAGGGAAAGTTGCTATTCATGAGACTTTGCTGATTCCCTGAAATTCCGTCTTAGAACTTTCAGCCCAGACCAGGTAAGGCCTGGCCTCTTTTTAGCGACCTGTTCAAATTTCCCACCCTTCAAGTCTGATTTCTACCTCAATTTTCTTCTGATCAAGGCAAAATGAGAGATCTTACACTATTCAGTTCATATGTAATTCTGAACAGTTTGGGAAATTTGGAAGACCTTTCTGTGAGGCATTAAACTCAGTGATTCTTAATATAAGGAATCCATACAAAGGAAGTTAAAGCTTAGATCCTTGAAGTTCACACTTCCTGAAAGTAGTATCTAGAACTTAAGACTCTTAAAGCATAGTCAGCCCTCTGCAGCCACAAATTCTACATCTGCAGATGCAACCAATCTCAGCTTGAAATTTTTAGGGGAAAAAATGCTGCATGTGTTGCTGACATGTACTATATAGTTGGGCCTACCATGGTTGTGTCTGTACCAAAAATGTATACACTTGTTTTTCTTGTTATTATTCCCTTAACAATAGAGTATAACAACTATTTATATAGTATTAACATTGTATTAGATACTATAATTAATTTAGAGATGGTATAAAGTACAAAGGAGGCTGTGCACATGTTATACCCAAAGACTACACCAATTTAAAGGACTTGTCATCCATGAAATTTGGTATCCAACGAGGGTCCTGGAATTACTATAATTCTCCTTTTTCTGTTATTTCAATCCTATTAATTTTTCCTTGTTTTTGGAGAGAGGAGATTGTTTTCAATGCCTTTATACTTATCTGACTTATCTATTCCCACCATACTCCATAGAAAGAGAAGGGGCAACAGGAAGGCCAACCTCAAGTTTTTAAATGCAATTCTTTCGAAGGCAGTAAGCTGATGGAGCAAAAGTCAGTCACTAGAGTTACATGCCCGTTTCAATAAAATGCATCAGTGAAAACTCAAATAATGTTTCAAAACCAATAGAGAGACTTGGTATAAAATTCCCAAAATTCAGTGTTGTGGCCAGCAAAGAATACACTCAAAAATTTTTATTACAGCACATTTAAAAAATGCCTGTTTTTTAAAAAGTGAAATAGTCACTAAACATTTCTTTAATACCACTCAATTCTAGAGAAGGGGAGGTAGCAGTCACATCATTTAAAGACAAAATATCGGATTGCCTAACTTTTCCAATATTTTACATGATGTAGACACAACCAAATAAGACATATTTATTTGTAGATGAAGACAAAGATTGCTGGTTCTTAATAACATGGCAACCTTAGCATGCTGTCATCCTGCAGTTTCATACCTCAACAAGTCCCTGCAATATCCTAACAAAGATGACACATCCATAATGCACTCTGGCTGCTGATGGGATTAGCATATTCAGAGTAGAGGTGAGAAGTATGGCAGCTCCAAAAACCCTGAAAAACAAAAGTTAATAGATCTAAATTTCTCTGGTTAATTTAATCACAAGCACTTTTAAAGTAGAATGTTTTTTTCTCTCAAAGAATAAAATACGTTCTGGACTTGATTGGCTCGAGCCATTGCAAACAGATTTGTGGACTAACTTGAAATGCTAGAAATACAAGAAATAAAAGAAGAATCTAATAAAACTGGTTATACTTACTTGTATTTATTGTCTTTGTAGATGTACTTACAAACTGCAAATACTTAATGAATCAGTGATTATGTTTTTGGTCTGTATCTCCATCTACAATGGAAGCTGCTTAAGGGGTAGAGTGTGTTTTCAGATACACTGTTATATCCCCAATGCTATGTGCCAGGCATATAGCAGATACTCACTGAAGAGCTATTGAAAAGATAATACATGCCTAAATGGAGCTGTGCCTTACATTATACAACTATTGTTAACATCCTTAAATCAGTATAGTCATAAAATTTTATGAATGATATCATATTGTAAATGCCCCAAGAAATCACATGGTCAGATCCCACAGCACGTTTTTGTTTTTTGCTTTTTATAATATTTTTATTGATTTCAAAGCGGAAGGGAGAGGGAGAGAGAGAGAGAAACATCAATGATGAGAGAGAATCATTGATCGGCTCCCTCCTGCACGCCCCCTACTGGAAATTGAGCCTGCAACCTGGGCATGTGCCCTTGACCAGAAGTGAACCCAGGACCCTTCAGTCCTCAGACCGATGCTCTATCCACTGAGCCAAACTGGCTAGGGCAGCACATGTTTTTATAATCGAAATAACTATTAATATATATGTCTCAGTTTTGTTTGTTTTTTTTTGTTTTGTTTTGTTTTTGCATGTGGGTAGGTGGGGAGATGATGTTTGAGTAGCATCTCTAGATGCATACATATACATTACAATTCAAGAAAAAATTGCTGAAAATATGATGCTCGGCCTTTTATCCATCTACAAATAAAAAGTCCATTTCATCACTTAATACATTTTTTAATGTTCATACTAAAGCAAGAAAAACATCCCCCAACTGAGTGATTTTAGAAATATCCTCTTGCCTGGAAGGTTTGTGACATATTATCTCTAATGAGCTTAGCTGTGTGTTCTATGCAAGTTTTCTTAAGGCGCACATTGAGCCTTTACTCAGTCAAAATTGGTTGCCTCAGAGAATCTCAGATTCTTCCAGGGGCACGTTGAAATGTGACTGTGAAAGGCTTGAGCTTCTGTAAGGAGCCTTGATCGTGCTTCACCTGCTACTGAAATGTGAATGACTTTAGGAAGGGTTGAAGAAGGTAAGCTCCTTTTCCATGAATCAAAGACCTAGACCGAGCTTCACCTGCTACTGAAATGTGAATGACTTTAGGAAGGGTTGAAGAAGGTAAGCTCCTTTTCCATGAATCAAAGACCTAGACCGAGCCAAATACTTTTGTTTACTTGATGCAGCCAAATAGCCCCTGTCCTCAGAGGTTTCTCTCCATCGAGGTAAAAGGTGACTCAGGAGGTGAATGTCCTGTTCCATTTTCCCTCCGTTCTGTCCGCTGAGTTGATATCTTTGTGTTTGTGCCAAAACGTAATTCATTTCCTGTTTGACACCAAATAGAAACTTTCTATTCCTAGAAATAACTCTTCCCATGAAAATGCCACACACCCAGTAATATTAAACTTCTGCTAAATATGGATTTTTTTTTTTTCAGAAAACAAATGCAAAAATCCCAGAACCTGTCTTGTAAAATAAGAATCTAAAATTACACCGAAACCGGTTTGGCTCAGTGGATAGTGTGTCCGCCTGTGGACTGAAAGGTCCCAGGTTTGATTCCGGTCAAGGGCATGTACCTGGGTTGCGGGCACCTCCCCAGTAGGAGATGTGCAGGAGGCAGCTGATCGATGTTTCTCTCTCATCGATGTTTCTAACTCTCTATCTCTCTCCCTTCCTCTCTGTAAAAAATCAATAAAATATATTAAAAAAAGAATCTAAAATTATTATAAGAATTGCTTTTAAAGTATTTTAATCCTTATTCTTTTTGAATTAAAAGAATTTTCACCTCTCTTAAGTCTACAATCTAAATGTTCTTGTGTGCCATCCCCAGAACACCTTGGATCCTTTAGGGCTGAGAGGAAGTAGGAGGGAGTCTTTGGGGCCTGTTTGCTGGACCTGGTGTTAAATGGTGCGTGTTCCCAAAGGCCAGTGACGCAAACATATCTTCCCACTTTTCTAGGAGTTTGAATGTGGTACCTGTGCAGCAGAAAAAATGAAGGTGGAAAGGACGAATGGCACAGGAGTTCTGGCCACGTGAGTAAGCTGTCTGGGTGCTGGCAAACCTGTGCTGTCTTTCTGAACATCCATCCCACTTGGCTCATTATCATTGATAACAGTGAAACTGACTGCGTAGGGCTTTAAGGATAAAGAGAACCAAAGCTACATAATGCTACAGGATTCTTGAAAGTGTTTGTATGAGTTATGCATCCACTCGATTCAGCCCTTTCAAAGAATTCTTTCAAACTGTCATCTATAAGCCAGATGCATTAGAATTCGCTGAGTGCTCATTAAAAATGTAGATGTCTCCCTCCCCCCGCCCCTCCCCCCACAAAAAAAGAAAATATCATTTCACATCGAAAGACAAAGGAGAAGAAAGCAATGTGTGTGTGTGTGTGTGTGTGTGTGTGTGTGTGTGTGTGTGTGTGTGTGTGTAGGCTCTATATTAATAAAGAGATTACCAAAATTGAGACCCACATAGTATGGCTGATATAGAAATCTTGGGAAAAGGAAAAGCTGTTGTTGAAAACCTGTGCCACATCCTGCCTGATGATAAACCTTCAGTGTGTTCCAAAGTGAATTAGCTGTGGGATTCGCAGTCATACCCTTTTTTGATGAGCCATAGCCACAAACCCCTCACATATCAAGCCCACCCCACAAGGATTTTCCCGGAAGAGGTGACAGAAGCACTGGTGACTTGTCACTTCTATGGATTATATCCATTTTCCCGGAATCAATCAATCAATCTCCATTTGGGCAGTGGCTTGTCACTAACAGGGAACTAGTGTTCCGCACCCCAGGTGTGGCACTAATCCTCTCCTCGAGCGTCTGCAGGAATAGAGTGATTCAGGCTGTTTAATCTATTTAGTCTAATCAAATCCGTGCTCAGCCACCTCCCTTTGTCACATCCGATGCCCCCACTCCCATATTAAATAAGGACTACACGAGCACACCAGCCCTCGGGCTCCCTTGGTACATCATTAAGTTGTAAAAATGACTTCATCACTCATGACAGAGAAATTGGACAGCCCCAACAGTGGCATATGGCAGAGGGGAAATCATTCTACCAGCTGCCCACCTCTCTCCTCCCTCCCCTCCAGGGGCTGCCATTGTAGGATGTGGCCACAGGGGAAGGTAGAGCTGGTAAGGGGTGAGAGGAGGGAAAAATGAAAGGCCAGAGAAGCTGAGAGAAGCTCATGTCAGCAAACCACCTGCAAGTCCTTAGGGACCCCTCTCCCTCTCCATGCATCTATTCATCTTGTGGAAAGGGTATTTCTTTTGTCGGAAAAAGGAAGGCCTCTTCTGCATTGCCCTAGACACCTAACCTATAGGGCCCACAATGGGAAGGCAGCTAGATGTTTGATAGGCAGCTAGATGAGTGAGATAGAAATAGTCACCTCTGGCCCTAAGAGACTGAATGACTACAAACCGTTTTTCCATTATAGCAGGATAGTGGTCCCTTGCAGCAGGCTTTATGTTTATGATCTGAATTATTGTCTCACACAAAAGGAATTTGCAAATGTTTCTCACTGGAAAGGTTAAGGAACCCTAGCTTGCAATTTACTTCAATGTTGTAGAACATAATTAAAAGTACAGAGGAAAAAGATGAGACATAATAGATATATATAGATGATAGAGATAGATAGATAGATAGATGATAGATAGATAGATATATAGATAAGAAGATAGGGTGTATTTGTATGTGCATGTGTGTTTGGCGATAAGACTTAAGATTTCCAATAAATGCTTGTTCCAATAAATAAAACACACTTTTATTGTTTTATTTCTCTGAAGGAAAAAGAATAGCTCCAGCAAAATGGTTTCTTTCTGGGCTTAAAATATGAAGGTGTTGTGTTTAAAATATCTTTGTTTCTCTCTTTCTGAAAATCATTCTCACCGGGGGATTTTTCATAATTAGATTAGCGAGAATATTTACTTAAAACATATCAAATTTTCTTTTTATAGATGCAAATGCACATTAATAAGCAGTTTTAAAATCTATCCATTTGAATCTGTGCATGTGTAAGCCTAAGTTCTTCCCTCGTTTATATTAGTAGTATGAATTAAATTGGGCCATTTGAAATCCCAAGGAAGAACCCTTCTTCTTTGACAAAAGGTCTAAACTCCCCCACTCCCCCAGTCATACTGGAACCCCTACAATCTTCCAGGAGCCCAAATTGCCACAGGGGCTGAGTAGGGAGGAAAAGTTCTAAATATCATGTTTTACTCTCCAGATAATTATACTCTTTGTTTAAGTCATTATCAAGTTTGGATATTGTTGGATATTGCCTTTTGTAGAGCGAAGAACAGAATCACTCATGTTGTGGCCAAATAGTTTGGGAGCCAGTACACACACACACACACACACACACACACACACACACACACAAATACAGTATGTTTCTCCTGCCACAAAAAATCTAAGGATCCCGTGGGCCTACTAAAAGCTTCTCTCTCTAATTCACGGATTTCTGTCCAGGATTTGGGGCATGATATATTGTAGGCACTGATTCAGAGAACAGATAGCTCAGTCTGCTGCTGAAAGTGAACTTGGAGATGAAGCCCATACCATCAGGCAGAGATGTTCAATTTCAAAGTAGCTGTGGCTGTGGTCATGTACTATGGGACATCTGAGTTTTAGTCTCAATCTCTCTGTGACCTTGGGCCAGTCACCTCCTCCCTGATTCTCTATTTCCTTTCCTGGTCTGTAAAATGAGAGGATTGGATGTGATGAGTCCTGTCCAGCTCTCATATGGGCTCTTTCTGGTTCAGGGAGTGAACTCTATGGGACAGACATATGCAACCCCCAGTCTCTTCAAATACAGAATTATTTTTCTTTAGCAAAAGTCAAGTTAGAAGCCCAAGAGATACCCTGAAAGACAAAATGTTGTACTAGGAACTGAATCTTCTTTAAATAAAGAATGGGGCAAGGGAAAAAGAAATAGTAGCTTTCAACAGAGTTTAACCTCCAGCTTGTGGATTTCTTAGTGCATTTACAATGCCCGGCTAGAATTCAGACATCGCATGCACTGGAGAACTAACACTCAATACTCTGGGCTGGAGATATTTTTTAGGACAGCTCTTTATGAGACATGATATTTCCGGTGAACAGTAATATGAATAGTGTGTAAAGGAAAACAACTTTAAAGGCAGAAATCTGACCTGAAAAGAGGCATTTTATCACACTAAAAATAATCCTTTGCATTACTAATACTTAAGGCAAATTTAAACACAAGCAATGCTAAATGTTCATAAGAGCTTTTTTCTTTTAATGTCTTATCTGGATTTAAGATTTTATTAATAATGAATGACAAGAGCAAACAATTATTGAGTGCCAGACCCTTCTAAGAATCTCACACATGTTCTCTTATTTAGCTGTCATGATAACCATGTCAGGTAGGTATTTTGGTTAGTCCCCTTTTACAGAAATAGGAACTGAGGCTCAAAGAGGTTACATAATGTGTAATGCCACTCAGTTATTAAATAGCATATTTAGGAATCTGAACTTACACAGTTTGCTTTAGAACCTATATCCTAACCACTACAACATGATCCTTTTCTTTTTAAGCCACAAACATTTTGTTGTGATGTTCATTTTATTTGTTAACAAGGATCTATCATGGGCCAGGCACTCTCTGAGATGTTAGGTATAGAGCAGTAAAAAGAACATGAACAAAAACACTTGCTTTGTCATGGAGCTTACTTACATTTTATTGGAGAAAGGCAGATATTAAAGAGAAAAATAAGTAAAATATTGGAATGGCAGGTGGCAATGAGTGCTATCTAAAACATTAAAGCAGGGTTAGGAAATCAGGAGGACAGGAGCATATTAGGGGCAATTTTTAAATAGGGTTTAAGTAATATTGCCACCTTGAATAAAGAGGCAAGAATAGTCTGTGTGTATATAATATCATCCATTAGAAATGTCATGTTGGCCAAACTTCCTTTGGTAATTCTGACCTTCTTTGGTTATGCCCACTGCAAAATCCTGTTGTTTCTCACATTAAGTATTTGCCCAGCAAGGTTCCTTCTCATTCTCTCACTGCAAGGTACAAGCAGTCCTTAGCCATTTCCCTTTGTAAATATCTAGATCACTGGAAGCTCCACGCTGCATTGTTTAAAGGCGAAGTTAATGGTCCCCAACACCTTTCAATCACTATGTTAAATATGTTCTCATCTGAAAACAATACAGATCTTGTGAGAAGTCTTTCTTTGATGCCCCACCCTAAGGCCCTCCATGGAGGTGACTAAATTCTCCTGACCAAGATGTGCAATAGCCCTTTAAGGAAAGACAAAGGAAAAAAATGATGCATTTTTGAGTTTTCTCTTGGGAATTGAATTTTCTCTTCCGGGGACTCCCTCATTTCCTCCTCTCCATGAGCTGGAAAGCAAGAATGCTTAGAATTTGACCAGAAAAAAAGAACCAATAACCTGTATTCTGTCCTTTTGTTTCATCCTTAAAATAGAGGCACCAAACCATTGCTGTTTGTTTTTCATTGAGAACTGCCTGGAAGTGTAACCAGGAGCCCTTCTCTCTTGAGGTGCTGTCTCCACACACCTCAGTTCCTCTATTCTATTTCCACCCATCACAGTGATGGCAAAAATTTTCCAAAGCAAGCTTCTTTCATACCTGGAGGGAAAGGAGTCTGTGCCCAGTATCCCACCCAAGGGGAATTTTATTCTATTATTAAATGATCTCTAGGGAGAATCTTATTTGAATGGGCCTCAATACTTGTAGGTGGAAAACTGGTCTTGCTGTGTTGTTTTTACTGTGTTTGAAAGTGATTATAATAGAAAACATACACTTTTCAACCCAATTCTAAAAATCTCTCAGATTTTGTGTTAAAACAAAACCAAACCCTTCTAAGATTAAATTCCATGTAGCAGGTACAAGACTAATTAGGCAGTCACCAAAATGTTAATAGGTGACTCTGGGTGATTCAATTATTTACAATTGTATTATCATTTCTTTTTTATATATTTTTGTTTAGTATGTCATGCTTTTATAATTAGAAAATGGAATGTTACATATTTTTAAAACCTGTTTTCACAGGACGTTTCAACTATATTTGTAATGTTTTGTTATATATTTTTTAAATGTAGCAAAGATCTCAAAATCCTAAGATATAACAAAGAGCTAGTCAATGATTTTCCATCGGTTCATAATATTTTACAATGAACTTTAACTTAGTTTTCTCAATCTGGTAGAACACAAAACATTGCATGTGAAAATATTAAGTTCCTCTCCCTTGAATACCCATTTAAAGGTAAGGTGTATACAGATCCATATAAAAATTTTAAAATTCAGAAAAATTTTCCTTTGTGGAAAATGTACCAAATAAATGAGAACCTGAGTGAGCATTAGTCAATTCTTTGCTAAACATGACACAAATGATAGCAAATAGCTTGCAAAAAAAAAAAAGCAACAACAATGACAAAAACTAACAGAAAAACCTGTTTATTGACCTCCCAGTCTTACAACCAGGAAAGCTGGGACATCCCTGGTGCTGTTTTCTTGGCAGGAAAATGTTAACATTGTAACATTTGGCAAGCTGGAGGCTTTGACTCTGAAAACACTTACAGGCACAGCCATTATATTTTCATTGCACATTACATGGAGTTCCCTGTATCATTTTTGGGTTTTGGTGAATTTTTTGTATATTTATCCCCTGAAGTGAAAATATTTCATGTATGTATTTGGAGTATCTTTCTGAGGAAGTTTAGTTTGTTTTAGAAAATATTTTATAGGACAAAAAGAAAGATTCAAAACACAACATATGAGGGACATGCAAGCCAAAAATGTAACAAGTTCATTACCAGTAATATTTAAGGGAATATTTCCTTAGCTTTTTCTAATATAATTTTTCTTTGATTTATCCCATTTAAAAATTGAGTCCTCTACACAGTTCATGCTTTTCATTTTAAACTGATTCCTTAAAAAAATAAAGAATATTTGTCTCTTGTTGGGTCTAAGTGCTAGCCATCCATAATCTCAGAGTAAAAACAATATTCAAAGGGCACTATTCTTAATTGATTGCATTGTCCTCTTAACATTTTGAAGGATTGTCCCAAAATATTCACCCTAGAATCATTAAGCCTAAAATAAATTTCCAAGAATTCCTTCCTAGGCCTTGGAAAGGACTGGGAAATCTTGGGAAGGAAGGCAGGGCTGGGAATGGGACTGTAGGTAAAAAAAGGTACTGGACTGTTTCACTGAGAGATGAAGAGGGATATTTCACTGAAGATGAAGACGGGCCAGTTTACAAAAGCAAAGGAGATCAGACTAGAGAGGTGCCGGATTCTAGATTTCTTGTCACCTTTTGGGGGGGAAGAAGGGGAGAAGTCATAGGTACAGGGTCTGATGGAAGACCCAAAGTCTCTGTGCAGCATTACCTGGAAGGGCGAGTATTCTTTATCAGTTCAACAATTCAGATGTAAAGAGCCCTTCGTTTTATTTGTCATCATTCACACCGTGAAGGAAGTGAAGCCGTCTCTCACCCTCGGGTGGCTGTGTTCTTTGATACCCCCACCCCACCCGTTCCTATGCCCCGGATTTGGGAGGCTGTTCCAGATGGCGCTTGGGGCAGTCCCGGGGGCTGACACTAAGGCCTGGGCTCGCAGCCACCCCGCAGCAGCAGCACCGCTGGAGGCCGCAGGCCGCAGGTGGCGCCGCCTCCACCCCGCCCCTGCTCAGCGGAGCTCATTAACAGGTGGAATCTTCCCCTTCCCCGCCTCCCCGGAGCCTGAAATCCCGCCTGCCTCCATAGAAACAAATCCTTCAGACCTAAAGCCCCATCTGGGCGGGCGCTCCGACCCGGCTTGCCACCGCCCTGCCGGGAGGTCAGCGCCGAAAGGAGCCGGGGCAGCGGGGGGACGAGCGGGGCAGAGCCCGGCGCGTGACGCCCCCACCCCTGTGTGCATCTGGCCTCACTGTCCCAGCTCCGTCTGCTCGCCGCCAGGCCTCAGCTCCCTCCAGGCCTTAAGGCACTGCCGTCGACTATTTTGCGAAGGGCGGATTCAGACAGGGCGCAGAGGAAGCGACAACGTGCGCCCTCCCCGGAGACCCCAAATCCTTTAGGGCGCCTTCTTCTGGAAGGAGGCCCCAGCAATTCCTGCTCCGAGAGGAGGGTGCCAGGGAATTAGGAGACCTGGCCCAGGAGTTCCCAACCCCCAGTCTCCGCTGCCCTTCTCTGGGTACCACCACCACGACCCCAGCCGGGTCCCGCTGGGCGGGTTACCTGTTGGCCGCCAGCCGAGACGCGATGTAGCCGCCAGGAATCTGGGTGATGATGTAGCCCCAAAAGAAGGAACCGTGGATCATCCCCACGGTTTCCGGGTCCCAGTTGAATTTGGCTTTCTATGGGAGTAGGAAAAAAAATTAAATAAAATTTAATTTACAAAACTGGGGTGGAGGGAAAGGGTAGAGTCCGCGCCTGGGCTGAGGGTCACTTTCAGTGGTTCGTCAGCCGAAGAGCCCCCGTTCCCGGGCACTCTCTGCATTCGGGGCGTGTGGGTGACTTGATTTCGTTTCTTAACAAAACAGAACCAATGCCTTCTTATAGAGAGGAAATGTCTCTTTTTAACGGAAAACCCGTGCTCATTTGAAACGTATTGTGATTAATAGAAAAGCTAGACCCCCTAGCTTTGCTCTGGGAACCATGTCAGGTGGGTGGAAACTCCTGGACGGGTGGGGAATGCTTAGGGCTCCTGTTTGGGAAATGGGACTTCCCAGGAAGAGATTCCGTTAGCCCGCTGGGGATAGAGACCCTGCCTGGGCGCATTGATTAGACGCTAGCCAGTGCGGACTGTAGTGGAATGGCTTGGAGAACGGAATCCAATCCAGGAAATTCTGGGGAAGGAAAGTGGGGTGGAAGGTGCGGAGGCCGGTTGGAGGAGTTAGGAAGGAGGATTGTCCCAGCAAAAGGGGGATAGGCCCCGGCAGGAAGGACTAAGAGTCGCCCTGGGGATTTGGGGAGTCAGTGGAGAGGGAGCTGTTGCTCGGGGGTAGGTCAGGAGAGCCCAGAGGGGTGTGCCTGAGGGTCAGGGCCTAGCTCTGCCATCGCCTGAGCAACTGGGGCCCCCTTTCTCCCTTGGAATAACATTCTGAAGCCAAGCGCACTTTGCAGGGTCTCCCGGAATCCCCAGGGCCGGTCAGCGCTCACCGCTTCCCCTCCAAAGCGAGTGCCAAATGAATCCTCCCAACCCTCGCCTGGTTTATGGTCGCCGCTCAAATCCCTAAACTGGAAATACAGACCCACTGGTTCCTGCGACCTTGACATTGACCCTTCTCTTCCTAGGGGTCACTCACACACACTGTACGAGCAGAGGATTGGATTCCAGAGACCCCAAGGTGCCCTGGGTGGCATCCCCTCTCCTCTCCCCGCCAGCCACGCGGATTTGATTTGCTTTTCGGTTTTGTTTCATCTTCATTATTAAAAATGTTTGGAGGAATTCAGCGAGAAATTATAACTAATATGCTGCTCCATTCCTTCGAGTAAAAAAAAATACTTCGATTCACAGTCTGCGGACATGACTAAGCCCCAACTTCTTGCATGACGTTAAGCTTCTCAAAAAGCTAGTGAGCTAACATAAATAAATAAACAAATATAATTTTTTTTTTAAAAAAAAAGCCTAGTGAGCTACACGCGGGTTTCCATTTTGCGGGTGAGAAAAGGAAGGCCCAGAGGGCAGACGCCACTTGCTTCGGGAGCAAAAATGGCAGGTGATGATGATCCCAGAGGGTCCATCCTGGAAGGGCGGCCTTAGAAGGGCCGAGGGGGCACCCAGGCCTTCCCCATTCGTGTGTGTGTGTGTGTGTGTGTGTGTGTGTGTGTGTGTGTTGGGGGAGGGGAGAGGCGTAACCGGGCTCTAACAGGGGCTGTGGCTTAGCGCAGCCGCGCGGCCGGCTGTCGCCCACCTCCTTGATGACCTTGCCCCCTCGGTGGATGGTGCTGTTGTTGACCATGTCCACGATGGCCACGCCCAGGTTGCAGCGGATGCCGAAGGAGATGCAGAAGCCCAGGCCACTCATGATGGCGATGATGTAGCGGCGCGGCAGGCCGAAGCACGTGCAGTCGCACAGCGGCGCCTTCTTCTCAGGCACCTCCAGGGGCTTCCCATCCTCCGTCAGCTCAATGGTCTCCCCGGTCTCCTGCTTCTTCTCCAGCACCCTGTGCGGCAGAGCAGGGGGGCGGGGAGGCAAGGACGCCTCGGGTTAGGCACCCCAGGCGCCCTCCTGTCCCCAATTCCCAGGGCCCGGCAGGGCTGAGGGGAGCGGCGCTGACCCACTCCCCGTCCCTCCGGGATGAGCGTGCTTCGGCCTCTCCAGCCTCTGCCGGTCCCCTCCCCCCCGGAGCCACCCCCGCAGCACCTGGATTCACAGGCACAGGCCGCTTGGGCCTAACTTTTTTGCGGGGTCTGCAGTTTACGAGGATTACCCCAAAGGCGGCTTCTGAGTGCCTTCTGAGCAACTGTGTGGGCGCCTCCGAGCCGCGGCCAGTGCTTTCCCCGGGACTTTTTTTATCCAGCTGCCCAGCCGAGGCCCCGCACCCGTCCTACCCCTTCCTTCCCAGAGGAGTTAAAGCTTTCCCGGATGGGGACCCCGCGTTCCCGCCCACAAAGGAGCCCGGGGCCTCCGGGGACCAAGGCCTCTCCCGTGCGGGGCCCACGCGGCGGTGGTCTGTGAATGAGCCGCGCACTCTCGGGCCCCTTCCCCCAGCCCCAGGTGCCAATCCAATGTTTTCTCTCCGGTTACACATTTTTTTTCCTTGTTACTGGAGTTGGAAACAAAGGCCTCCGCAACATATGGCCGACACCTAAGCCTCCTACTGCCAGAACATGAATAATTAATTCTTCACAATCTTGCGTCATTACTATCTCGGTTACAAACACCGAAAAAAATGTCACCGGCCCCATTTCCAAAGGTTTGAAATGCGACTCCCAGGTATACAAACGCGCCCCCAAATCAGCTCTGGGAGGATGTTCCATACCCAGGTAGAAGGTCTCACGTTTAGTTTTTGTTTTGTGTTTCTTTTTTTTTTTTTAAATTAGCGTAGCATCTCACCAGATTCCACCGGTCTGATTCCTTTTAGGGTTTTGTCCTTGGGGGAAGGGGGTAGGGAAAAGCTGAGTGACAGAAAGCTTTTGCTAAAAGCCGATAGTGTTGTTCTAGTCCACCATTTAACTGTGAAATGTCTGTTTTTTAAAAAAAACATGTGAACGGTAACATCGCCATGCACCCTTGAGGTGAATACTCTCAATATTTAAACAAAGAACCTCCCCGTTTAAAATGGGCAGGTATTTCCAATCTACCATATAATTGCCTTTTATGCGTGCCCTTTAAATGATATATCCAGACACAATTGTTGTCATACACACGGGTAAAGCAAATGAAATTTTAATATCAATTTCAAGAATGCATGGCTTGGGAGATGGCTGTCAAGCAATTTGAGGCTAGTAGGGAAAAAAAGTCATATTTCCAAATTTTGTAAGTAACACCTGGGAATAGATCACAAACATATTGTTGGCTCTGTTTATTCCTAAAGTCCAATCCCAATTGTAGAACATAGGGCAACATATACTGGGAGAGAAAAGGGGAACTAATGAGATTTTATTTATTTCTTTCACATTGGCTTTCTATACCCATAATGCAAAGTCCAGCTCTGCACCTGAACTCCCCACCTGATGGCAGTTGGGCTGGAGAAGAACAGCTCATTCCCAGGCCGCTGCGGGACTGCAGGGCCCTTGCGGTATGCACTGCCGCATAGGTGCATGACCGAGCCTGCATGAAGCCCACCAGAACCAAAGAGATTTGCAAAGTGGGGAGGCACATTGGTCAATTTCTTTACATTTCCTATACATTTCCAAAGGCTTCCGTTTCCCAAATGTGAACATTAGCGCTCTCTTGAACTCGTTTATCCTTTCATTCCTGCCCTCTCTTCTTGATTTGGCTCATATTAAGAAAGGGTGTAGTCATTCAACATCTTGAAAGGGTATAAAGTGGTGGAATTGACAGCATAATTGGTGCAATGACTATAGGGAGGATGAAATTATTTTAAAAAAATTTCCAGTACTTTCAAAGTCATTTAACTGGTTATTGTTATGGTTTTTCTTATAAGTAATGTGACCTTTCCCATACAAGAAATAGACTTCTATGAGAGGTCAAATAATAAACACGTACATTGTTCTGGGTTCAGAGAGAAGAACTGCTTTCGCTATCAATTATTGATATGTTTTGATTCTTCTTCCTTCTTTAAAGAAGGATGATTCCACTGGGGAATTCGCTACTCAAGTGGTTTTAAAGCTACGATCTAAATTTCTTTTTTGCCATTACTCTTTGGAATTTCTTGATTCATTTTTAAAGCGTTGTATTTTTTATTCATTTGTCTGCATAAAATTTTTTTAACTTGGTGTCACTATAAGCACCAAAAGAAAGGGTTGGGTTTTTTTTGAACAGGTACTGGTCATTTTTCAATTGTAAAGAGGATAAATCCTGGGCAGGAAAGGATGAGAATCTGCAGGTACGGAAACAAAAATCACACACACACACACACATACACAAAGCAGACAGGTTCATTTAGTGCAACATTCCTGAATAAACAAGCAGGTTTCCAGAGCAGCCCCGCTCCAGCAATGAGCAAGAAAAAAAGATCATATTACAATCTCTCTAAGCAACGGGGTTTGCGGAAATAGCCCTGCAGATTTTTTGCATGCCGAGCCCCAGGCAAATATGAGTTTGCTTTCTCTTACCTGTAGATCTGGCCGAGGGATTTTCCAGCAAGATTCTTTAGCCCCTCTTTTCCTGGGGTCAAAACCCTTTGTTTTACGGATTCCATTCTTGCAAAGACTGGTGCAGGGCTCTTGCCAGGTTTAAATAGTGATCGCTATAGAAGGCGAGAATTGCGCATATTGTCTTAACCCCTTAAGGTAGTTGTGGGTTTTTTTCTTCTCAGCGGAATGGTATTGATGTGCCTCCAGCAAGAGTGCGAGTGAGCAAGGAGAGGGAGAGTGAGAACAGAATACAACAGAATAGCTGCATGCAACCCACGGGTTTCCTAATAGGAGAGTTGGTAGACACAATCAGAAAGTCTCATTGGAAGGGGAGGTTCCGGTGGCAAAGGGCGCATGGTATTTGGGCGGGCGCTGATGAGTTCTTGTCCTGGAAGTCAGTCCACTGAAAAAGAATTTAAATTCCTGGTGCTGAAGCCTTATTGCTGTCCAATCTTCTGGCTTTTTAAACGGAAGGGTGGAACTACCCCAGAACCCTTGTGTAAGGACAAAGGCAAAATAAAAGCACTTTGTAAAAATATGTGTATTTGCTATGAGGAGCAGAGCACTTGCAAAACTCATGGGAGCATCTTAGGTCTCAGGTGAGCAATGCTGCTATTCGTTTTGTCTCCTTGCCTGTGATCTCCTCCCACCACACCGGCGCAATCTGCTCTGCGGTAGAGGCGAATTAAGATGGAGAAAGCTCGCTGCTCTTTGAGGACGTGAGTCAATAAGAGACACACAGTTCTTCTGATTTGGGCAGCTTCAGGGAAGATTTTTTTCAGCCCAGCTGACAGCGCCGCCGTTGCAGCGCCTTCGGGGGCGCGGCTGGGCAGAATGTTTCAGCACCACGGACAGAGTTCCAGGAAATGGGGACGCTTCTTTTGGCTGACCAGATTGCCAACTTTCTAGGGGAGCTGGGCGGGTCGCCCTGAACAAGAAGCCTTCTGGGGATCTTCAGACACGGATGCTATGGAGACCAAGTGGGAAGATGTCATCATCGCCCTAGTTTGCAGGAAGAATGGTGCATTTGGCGCTGCAAGGGAGGAAGACTTTATAAAAAATTGACAAGTGACTTTTCTAATCTCCTACATTTTGCTCAGCACGCTGACACCAAATCTGTTTGTTGTAAAGAAGGAAGATAACAATATATTTTACTTAAGTTTGTGGTATTCTGGGGGCACCTGGGGTCCCTTGGTTTAACATATATGTACAGAAAATGCATAATTATATTGCTCCTTCTTTTTGTTTTAACCCCCGATAGGAAGGAAGGAAGGCAGGAAGGAAGGAAGGAAGGAAAGAAGGAAGGAAGGAAGGAAGGAAGGAAGGAAGGAAGGAAGGAAGGAAGGAAGGAAGGGGGAGAAGTGGAAGGGAGAGAGAAAGGTAAAGGAGAGAAAGAAAGAGAAAGAAAAGAATACCTGCAACCTCAATGACCTTGGTTAAATAAAAGACAGGTAGTTTAATATATATTCCTTGGAATTTTATGATTCTTCACTTAATTCACAGCACACTACTGAGATATCAATATACTGATGAAATTTATGGTCATACATTGTGCTTGTCAATAAATAATTACTAATGATATTTTCAAGATTTATTTTAAATTACACATATTCCTTTAAAATATGATTTTTGTCTCATTTTCTCCTAAAGCAGAATTATAGAAATTCATATAAGACTTGTTTTCACATATATAGGTAGAACATCAATGAATCTATTTCATTAAGTAAAGCAAGAAAACTATGCTAACTTGATGTTAATTATTAATGCATTTGACATGAATCACAATCCTCTTAGATGCAATTCAGGCAAACGATTACAAAACAGTTTGTCCTTAAACCACATTCTCAAGGTTGAAATATTTGGATTTTATTTAAACCAACAGGGGGAGTAGATTTTTCTTAGGGATCCTGGGACCAAATCTCAGAAGTATGAATCTAAATACAGAATCATGAAAGAATGTTCCCTGAACAGCCCAAATAATACAACGGATATTAATACACAGAATGGATAGCTGAAAAACAATGTAAAAAATAGCTAAAACTATTTTCCATTATTAAATCTGATAGTTATCACATAAATATGTATTAAATATATATCTTCTATAAAATAAGAAATCATATTTCTAAAGCTATGGAAAGCCTGAAAATAGTATCTATCCCAAAAGGTGATTAAGAATGAGGAGGGAAAAAAACCTAACCCAACATTAAACTACCTCCTTCCAAACAAAAGATTCAAGCTAGTCAGGACATGACTCATCTAGGTGCTTTTCAAATTGCCTGTTTTCCAAATCATTAGTGATCAAATTCATTACATGTATCCCTAAAATCATTTAGGGACACCCATGATTTTGAAATTCTGGAAAGTTATGCAAAAAATAGAGGTTAAATATATGTGGAGTTTAGATGGTGATAAAAAATTATTCTCCTAAGTGCACTGAAAATGTCTAGAGGTCTAAACCACCCAACTGCTAAGTCTGCACTATATATAGCTCACAGGGCACCAAACAATACAAATCCAGCATGAAAGCATTGTTTCTAGAGTAAAATAATTACATGCACCTTTATTGAAATAAATGTCATCTGGATCTTTCCTCCATTCTCTCAATAACTGGGTGGGTGCTTGAATAAGAATTACTGCTGATATTGATGTATTCATTCTGAAACTATTCATTTAGTGCCTAGCATTGCACTAGAGTCTGAGAATGTCCCCTGAAAGATTTCACAAGCTAGATGGGAAAGAGACAAATTACAAATAGGCATGGATAAAATTGGACAAGAAACCCAACCGTGGCGTGAAAGCACACAGAAAAGATTTTAGGGGGTGATGTTTCCTTATCTGTCTTAAGAGAAACTTAGCCCTAGGAAGGTGATGACAGCCTTGTGGACCTGAGTGGGGGATAGGTGGTGGTATTTGGAAAGCATCCCCACCAGAGGGGACATTTTGAGCAAAGTCACAAACAAATGGAAAATGCTGTATGCGGAAAATTACAAGAATTGTTACTAGGCCACCTGAGACCAAAGAATGCCATTTAGGCGATTCTGAAATTAATAGCTACTCCCGATATAAGAGACATATATTCAGACATTGCTTACCAACTCAACAAATTTTCTTCAACTGTGGTTCCAAAATCCAAACACTGAACATGTACTTTTGTGATATTAAGTTCATCAGATGTATCTTTATGAAAGGAAATATTAGTGGTTATACATATGGTATTGATATAGTGATATTGAAAAAGCCTTTCCTTTGCTGGACACTCTCCCTTATCCCTAATATCTTCCATTCAATGTTAACAGTGCTTTCATTTGAATTAGTAGACACCTCTTCCTATAGGAGAATTATCCCCTCTTCCCAAGCGCTCTTTTTTTGTTTTTGTTAATCCTCACTCAAGGATATTTTTCCATTGATTTTAGAAAGAGTGGAAGGGAGGGGGAGAGACAGAGAGAAACAGAAATATGAGAGTGACACATTGATTGATTGCTTCCTGCAGGTGCCTGGGCCAGGGCCGGTGATCAAGCCTGAAACCAAAATATGTGCCCTTGACCGGAATCAAACCCATGACCCTTCAGTCTGCAGGCTGACGCTCTATCCACTGAGCCAAACCAGCTAAGGCTTTTCCCAAGCACTCTTAAAAATAAAAGGAGAAGTTTCACTGACTACAACTAATAAGTGTAGCATATTAATATTTACAAGTGACTTTCACTTATGTGATTTCATTTATTCCTTGTAATTATTCTTCAAAATAAACTAGTTTTATTCTAATTTTATTGAGGAAGAATATGAATTTTAATGAATTGCCTGAAGTCATGAAACCAGTGATGAAGAAGCAGCATGTGTTAAGAGTAGTTTCCCACCATTTAAGGTCTTGTTAAAATACAGATTCTGATTCATCAGATCCACAGTGGAGCCCAAGATTCAGCTATTCTAATAAGTTTCCAGGGCCGCTTGCCCATGGATCGCACTTTGAATATCAGCACTGGAAAGTATGAAATGTGAAACCAGCTGACCTGGATTTGGGTCCTGACTTTGCTGATTATCATCCCCGTGACTTTGAATCAATCACTGAACTTTAATAAACTTCAGTTTCGTAATTCGTACAAATTCATGCTGGTAGTAAGTGATCTCTAGCATCGCTTCCACTTGTAAAATTCTATGACTTTTTCATTAATTTCTTCATTGATGTAATACCATGTTTTCTTTGTTCCTTTTACCCCAAGATTTTATTATTGTATATGGTTATAACCATTTTCTAAATGGTTAATAATGAACAGAGAAAATTGCCAATAATATAGAGAAATGTGCTCCTTTCTCAAAGTTCAATCTTCTTATATATTTAAAGAAGAGTAAATTTATTGTTTGTTGTACTATGAGTAGATGTAAAGTTTTATATGCAATTGTTTAAATAATTGCTTCCTAGTATTCTTTAAAATTCACATAAGATATTACCTAATAGCACTGTGATGGGCTTTCATTTATGTCCTTGTGTGAAGAAATACTTTGGAGAGATGATTTAAATATCTTGTAAATGTTGCCCTCTGGTGGAAGGCTACATTATTATTATAGGCGCAATTGTAGTACTTAATTATGTAATTAAAACTACTATTTTCTTTCTTCTCCTCATCCTTCTCCCCCTCATCCCCTTTTTTATTTTTTTATAATCCCCTCCTCCTTCTTTATGAGACTTGAATAATTAAAATATGCAATATATCTAAAATATAAAATATCTTTGTGAGCAATATATTTGCTATTGCCTGACCAAGTACTAAATGTCTTTTAGAAATAACTTCTTTTTTTATGAAAATCCCTGTTAACCAAAGAGTTATTATATGAAACTTCACTCCATTAAGAAGATTTACAAATGGCATAGTAATAATGTGGAAAATGGGTTAAGGTTTCTAATCACAGTAGAATAAATTGTGATAATTATATGATTATTTCAAAATTGTAATATGTTTGATAAGTTTTCACTGGGTGTGTGTATGTATATACACATATACATATACTAGTATAAGGCATCATATTTAATGCTATTTATAAATATTGCTGAGGTATTTTTAAGGAAAATTTATTTCAAAAATATTTTAAGGTGTCTAATTCTGAGGTTACATTTTCCATTTATTATTTCAACAAATATTCACTCAAGAGATATTTGCACCTATTATAGGTTTGGTCCTTTGTGGTATTTTATAGTAAACCAATTAATTCAGCAGAGTTTTATAGCTTTTTATAATAAATGTAGAAAGTGCACACTCCTAAAGAGAAAACTGCTTTGAAAGTTTTACAATATGGTTTTATTTAACTTTGAATTTCTAAATAGATGTGCATGCTGCCAATCCTACACGTCTTTCATGTTGAGGCTATACAAATAAGCTCTAGGATTCATCTGTTAATTTTTTTCTTATCAGGGATTTTTTAAGGAGACAGTTTTTAGATCAGCTTTATTTGACTTTACTTTTCAGTGTTAGTCTCAGAGATATTTCCAAGAAATTATCATTATAAAATTCCTTCGGGGCCAGAGATAGAACAATAATTGTTTGTCTTACACACATCTGTGCACATAATGCCTAGTACTCTGCGCTGCTATATTTAGTGACCTAGTATAAAATAACTTCTGATTTCTCTGTGATCTGTCTGGTTAAAAATCTGGAAGCAGAAAGTTTTAAATAAATGTACATTGTAATCTTAAAAATATATTTAACTACCAAAAATGTATGTTTATAATTACATATGTAATGTGTTGTATCTGTGTGTATCTTATGCTGTATAATTTA